TCATGGATTATCAAGTTGGGCTAAAACCCATAGGATGCTCCATGGATGCTCCATGGTGGTTATAGAATCGATGGGTCATGGAAATGAAAAGTCATGACAATTATGGTTTACATGGTGTAACCCTAATTGTAACACACTATATAAGCATCCTTATGTTCACAAAAAAATCGGCCACTAAGCATACAAGTGAGGGCTAGCCGATTTCAAGAAGTGTATCATTTCTCTCTAAGTTATTCCAAATGTATTTGGTGTTGTGTGAGACATTTGAGGCATCACACTTGAGGTGCTAGGCTCACAAGGTTCTCAAGGAATCCAAGCAACTAAAGGTATGTATTTCTTACTATCTTTTATGTTTAAAAGTTCCCATGTATGCTAGATAGGTTATGAACCTTGGAAAAACAATTTTGCATGTATGATAGATAAAACATAGATCCAAGGTTTCTAGGGTTGCATGTACACCATAGGAATGTTAGAATGCTCAAAACCCTTCAGGTATTTCATCAACCTTCTCCAGGAGGTATAAAGCTTGACTCTTGATGAATCCTCTTAATAGATCTAATTAGTTTATGGGTTTTTATGTGCTTTTGTCCCTTAACCATGGTCTTAATGAGTATGAGCTACTCCAGACCTCAAGAGTATCATTTCCGGGATTGTTGGGTCGTAAAAATGGGATTTGTTTGTCTACAGATTGAGGTGAGTGTGAGATTTGTTTGTCTACAGATTGAGGTGAGTCTTCTCACTATGCTCGTGGGTCGAAGACACCAAATTCAGCCCATTAGATTGTGTTATGTAAGGTGTTAGTTGTCTTTGTGGCTCTTGCATTTACATGTTGGGCTGAGCCCATTTATACGTATGTTGGCTAGGCCCATTTGTATGTTGGTCTGGGCCTATTTATATATGTTGGACTAAGCCCATTTATTTATATGTTGGGTTGGGCCCATATATTTGTATGTTGGGCTGAGCCCATTTATATGGTATGCGGTATTTTGGAGAACTCACTAAGCTTTGTGGTTACGATTTTGTGATTTAGCATTTTTAGGTATTTCCAGTTCAAAAGAGAAGGGTCCGACGTAATCACATAACATTTCCTTGATTTTATTCCGCAATGACATTTGATTTCATTCTGATGTTGAGAATATTTTATATTATGGTTGATGTTGAACAAATTGATTGTATTTTTGGGTGTTTGAAAAATGAAAATTTTACTATCATTTTTGGTTTTTTAAAACGCCTCTTAAAAATATATTTAAAAAAAAAAACCTAACAAATGTTTTTAATAAAGATGATGATCCATACACAATATTTTTTAGCCATACACAATAATTTATGAATTATATAATTGTACAGTATAATTATTTATATTGCTAAAAAATATCATATACAAACTAATACCATTTTAATAATACTGTTCTAAAAAAAAAGGTGATCATACGTGGCAAAATCCGTTTCATGTTTAGGAATCGGTTCCAAAGTCAAATAATATCCCCACACAAGAACCAATTTGATTGATTTATGATTAATTTATAATTGTCAATTGTCATTCTTCTAATTCATAATTATCATTCTTAAATGGTCTTTTCTAGTAAATGTCCTTGAATCTTTCTAAGGATTTTAATCTATCTATCGTCTACTTTAACAATCCCGCTGTCAATTTTTTTAAGTAATTATTATTCTAGCTCAATAAAAAAATAAATTAATAAATAAATAAATAGAAATAATTAGTGAAATTGTCTTCTTTGTTTGCAAAAGTTTGCAAAAATTGCATGTTTGGTCTCTAACATTTTTTTGCATTCGGATCATCCATAAGTTTTGATTTTGTTGTGTGTTTGGTCTCTTGCAGACAGGAAAAGACCATATCGCCCTTATACTTTTTTATTAGCTTTTTTTTTAAAAAAAATTGTTTATTATTTATTAGATATAAAAAATAAATTAAGTGATTTACGAATATGTGGCCCACCCCTAAAATAAAGCATCTATCTCCCTCCCTCTTTCACATTTTGCTCTCTACTTTCTTCAAAGCCAACGACACTACTTCACCCTCGTCGGCGACCACTCTGATCCGATGACTACCTTCTAGACCAAATATCTTTCCCTCTCACTCTCTTCTTTAAACTCAACCATAAAATCTACCCATTTGAACCTCTGTTTATCTATACCTCTAAATTCGTTGGAGTTCTGCACCTCTAAAGTTGTTGCCGCTAGAGTTCTACACCTCTAAAGACGACATCGAACCTACACCTCAAGTCATTCTTGGATCAGAAGGGTTATTTGATTTTTCGGTTTGATGTTAGATTGTGATTTGAGGTTAGATGTTTTTGTGTGGAACACATGTTGGTTGTTTAATGTTTGATTTTGATGGTTTTGGTTTGTTTATGATTTTGGTGTTTGCTTGTTTCTAGAATTCGAAATACGAACACAAGTGGTGGGTTCCGGAGGTGAAGGACGTCGGTTGCCGAAGTTAAAATTTGCCGGTTCCTTTGGCAAGATGGTGGTGGTGTTCATAGATCCCACTAATTCATAATTCACTTAATTTATTTTCTATATTTAATAAATAATAAAAAATTTAAAAAACAAAAACAAAAAAAAAGTATAAGGTCAAGATGGTCTTTTCATGTCTGTAACTAACACGCAACACAATGTAAACCTAGGGACCGTCCGAGTACAAAAAGAATCGTTAAGGAGCAAATGTGCTATTTCTACAACTACAGAGATGGTTTCAATAATTTGTTCAATAAAAAATAAAAATAAACAAACAATATACAACAAGAACCAAATTTATAATTTTATCCTAATAAAATTGCAAATTATGGCCAAATTCTATAAAAATGTTTTTTTTTTTTTCGTTTTAACAAAATTTTTTGGTAGTTTAACTGCTAAGTTTGTTCTTTTTTTTTATAAATATTTTATGTTTTTTTTATTCATGAGTGGTAAAAAAACAAAAGGATATTTGGTAAAGGTTAATGATGATGTTTTTTAAAATAAATAAAAGATCAAAGCTTTCAATGGTTTAAATTTTCTTCGAGTGATTAAACCAAAAAAATTTAAAGGATTTAAAGTTTTGTATTGTAGCTTTCTTTATTTAAAAAAATGTCGGTGGTCAAAACAGAAAAAAAAATGTTGATTAAAAATATTACAATATTTTTTATTTTTTATTTTTATTTTTTTCTTTTTTTTGAATTTGCTAATGTTATTACTCTCTTTTGTAAATTATAACGTGTATTATTTTAAGGGTTATTATTACTGTAGCCCAACAATGTTTAGTATATTGGTTTAAATGATCCATTGTAATTTTTTTTGCCATTGAAGGGTACGAACTTGTGTTTTTAGGTTTTAAAATGTCATTATGAAAAAATTGAACGAGTCATCCAGTGACCCCATCTTAATCATTAGTTTGCATATGACACGTTGGTTTCTCTCGTCCAAATCATCAGTTTCCCTCAACCCACATTGACTTTCAAAAGTCAAAGATCTTTGTCTATTCCCTCGGATTAACCATCACAACTTCGTCTTTGCATCTTTTCCTATTGGTTTCTTGTGAAGTTCTGTAAAGAGAGAGATGGGAAAGAACAAGAGAGTGACCACATTTTTTATTCCTCTCACTATTTTCCCCAAATGATGATTCACGTTGGGAGTAATCTCAATCATTTTCAGAAAACTCGCATAAACAAACGACACAATACAAAACGTGGTTATGATGTGAGAAAATACATTTACACCATGTCACAATTCGAAATCCCTAGATGGATTGAGAAATCATACGTGACTGATACATGGAGCAAGGATTCCAATTGGATGGGCTACATTATTGTGGGTAATGATCTGGAATCGAAGAGGATCAGAATAAGAGACATCGTGGTGGTGTGGTGTGGCACTATGCTTTCTTCCGAATGGTATGAAGATATGCAACGAGATCTCGAGCCATTAGGGCACGGGGAAGCGAAGGTGGGGCGAGGGTTTATGAGAATCTACAAATCGAAGCTGGTGGGATGTCAAGTCCACCAAGCAAATTACACCCTTTGTTTGCAAATAAAACGTAATATAATGGT